TCGAAAGTGGCGACAGTTTCGCGGTCGCAGCCCCCCAGGGATGGCGAGGTCCGCACAAAGCAAGAGGAGACAAGAGGGGAGCGGGAGACGGGAGGCGGGAGGCGGGAGGAGGAGGAGGAGGAGGAGGAGGAGGAGGAGGAGGAGGAGGAGGAGGAGGAGGAGGAGTAGAAGGATTGGAGACCGCAGTGCTCTATTCCCAGCATACCCAACCAAGGAGGGTTGGGAAACATTGCAAGAGCTTCGCGGATTGAGGGCGGTTCCTTTTCAAAATGTTGTTCTCGCCTTAGCGCCGCGCACATTCTTTTTCAGCAGTCGCAGGAATTTCAGGGATTCCATGGCCATCGTACCAGAAATGGTGTGTTGGACGGATTCAGGATTATGCGGGCGCAACAGTTATGTTGATTCGTTCTGTTGAAATCCCCCCCAAATCGGCGTTCTGGCACGATTCTGGATCGTCAAGACGCAGCAGTCAGGTTGATACGTGGCGTTGAAATCCCGAGAACAATGTTTGGGCACTTTTCAGGATCTTCAAGCTGTTGTCTTCCAACGAGGCACTTCCCTCAATGAAAATGAACCGTTGTAGGGGCCTAGGAAGAGGGACCTTGGAGGGAGAGTTAATTCCAACATCGCTGATGACTCTTGGGTTTCAACTGGTCCTCCTTCTCCTCCTTCTCCTCCGCATCCTCCGCATCCTCCGCATCCTCCTCCGCATCCTCCTCCTCCTCCTTCTCCTCTTCCCCCTTCTTTTTTGACGTTGCTCGAACATTGATCGAGTGATCACTGCGTCTGTCCTCCTCCTCCTCCTGGCGAGCAGTGTTGAAGTACAGTCAACCCGCATCGCGAGGATGAGCAATTTTCCAAGGTTGCCCTTGCATCCTTGCCCCTTCGGCCCAACCCTGGCAACTTTCGCTTGGTCAGCCCCGTTCGAGAAACGTCGACATGGCCCTCCAAGGCCCTTGCATCCTTACCGCGCATCCTTAACACTCGGGTTGACTACACGCGGTCCTAGGGCCAGTGGGGAGGACACGACAACAGATCCCGAGCCCCCTCGGCGCCTGGAGCCCAGCGAGACGAGGTACATCTCGCACAGTTTCGGCGGCCAGAGGAGGCTACAGCATGCTCAGCCCTGATCCGACATGTCTCAGAAGATGGGGGCTGCCACCGGCCCAGTTTTGGTTCTTTCGGTGGGCATAGCAGAGGACGCCATCCGTGGGAATCTCTGATGTGGAGCAGCACGCCTGAAGTGTTCATAATTGGTCCGCCAAGGTCGAGCCATCGAAGTAATAGTCGGGCCTCCGTGCGAGACCTGGTCAGCAGCACGGGACGTAGAGTCCCCTGACGGTCAAACCCCTCGTCCGCTCAGCTCTTTACAGAACATTTGGGGACGTCCATCTGGCCACCGCCAGAGAATAGCGACAGATTGTCACAGCCAATGGATGTACCGTGCTGCCTTCTATTTCACGTATGGCTGTCTCTTTGTAGGTGCCTACGGGCGGAGGACGAGGAGGACGAGGAGGACGAGGAGGAGGAGGAGGAAGAGGAGGAAGAGGAGGAAGAGGAGGAGGAGGAGGAGGAGGCGGAGGAGGAGGAGGAGGAGGAGGATTCGTCGAACGCGAACCAAACGAACACCGATCGAGCCAGCCCGAGGCCGCTCCACGCCCGCACGAGACCCGCTCCTCCTAAGAAGCCGCGGGCTGGCTGGATGTCTCGGCACTCGGTGGACAAGGTGGGCGTTCCAAGACTCCTCCTCCTCCTCCTCCTCCTCCTCCTCCTCCTCCTCCTCTCCTCCTCCTCTTTCTCCTCTTCCTCCTCCTCCTCCTCCTCTTCCTCCTCCTCCTCCTCCTGGCAGTCACTATTCCCAGCTCGTGCCGCGAGCTGCACGACAGGCTCCGCCACGGCTGCCAAGCCAGAGGCCACGGGGTGGTCGAAGGCAAGGACGAAAGCGGCCGCCGGAACACACAGCAGGCGAAGCGAGGTCTTGCGGGACTGTGCGCGTCTCTTGCGCGAGATGTTGCCGTTTCCAGTAGCCATGAGCTGCGAGAGAGGGACGAGGTCGAGCCGTTCAGCCTCGCTGATATGACCATCCGCTCCTCTCTCGAGAGCTTGTTTGATTGTCTCTGTCCACTCGATTCATACAGTCGGGGCCTTGGCCTAAGGAACCCAAAATAAGGAACGATGCCCCCTTTTTCCATAAGTTAAACTTCGACTTCCGATCGAAGACATAAGAAAAGCATGAGGCAAGCTGCGAAACACTTAAGGAACGCGGAGCCCCTCCCCAACGAAAAGGGTTCCTTCTTCAGGACCCCGACTGTATCAGTGCCCAGGTGATCGGCGCTTACGGGAGGGACCTTCGTTTTAGCTGAGATTGCCAAGTTTGAGGTCACGTGATGCTGCCTGCGGATGCATCCCCTCGTGGCCACGCAACGGAACAGCAAGAGGAAAGGGCGCCTTCGATAATGAGGAGAACCGCCCGCAGCTCTGAAGGTTCTGAAGGCGGAGG